TGTCCCTTCGGGAGCGACAGGGCTTGGCCCGTGAGCCAGGCCCGCGCGCCCTCGGGTCAGGCTGCAGCCCCGGACTCTGCTGGGCCAGCTCTCCTCCCCGGTTCAGTGAACCCAGCGGCCCTGCTCCGCCGCCCGCGGGGCTGTATGTGGTGCAGAAAGGGGGGGATGCGCTGGAGCCCTGCAGCCAGCCCCAGCAGCCACATGGGTCCTTTCCAAGGCGCATCATGGGCCCGCCACGGGGCAAGGGAGGCGGGACAGAGCCTGCTCCAGGAACGTGGTGCTAGAGCCGGGGGGCAGTTTAAGGAAATAAAGATTCCAAGCAGCTGCAGCCTCGTGCCACTTGGGGTTTTAATTCCCTGTCTCCCCAATTTCCTGCTGCAGGAGCAGAGGCGCCCTCCTTGACAGGCGCCTTATCCCGCCAGCAGGCAGCGTTGGAGCAGCCCCTTTGCCTGGGGGTTCATGGGCCCAGCCCTCCCCCCCAGCAGGTGAAGGAGGGACACAGCCCCCGTGATGTAGGGGGGACCTTGCTGGTTGCTATGCTGGGCAGTGGGTTGTGCTCCGCACAGGCAAGCCCCTCTCTCTGCACAGCTTCACCAGCTCTGCCTTCAGGAGTCAGGTGCAGGCCATCCCCCCGCTGGCCCCCTCGGTGCGGACTCACCGGTCTAGGGCTGCTGCGCCCCACTTTTCCCAGGAACCGCTTCGCTCTGTCTCCAGCACTCGTGGCTCCATGGCTCTTGCTTCTACTGCGCCTTGTCGCTTGCTGCTGGGAGCTCCATCCACAGGTGCAGGGCATCCCACTGCTGACACCAGTGTAACAACACGTTGGGGTTTTCCTGTCTCCTGCAATGGCACAGACAGACTCCACCAGCCAGTAGAGTAGAGGGAGTTTATTGCTTCTCCAGGATACAGCACAGATGTAATCTTGTTCCAGGGCAGGCCTAGGATGCCTCAGCCCCCCCTTGATATGGGGGAGCCTGCCCCTAAATCCCAGCCCATTGCCTAGGCTGCTTCCTCCATGATACCAGCCAGAAAAACTAACTCCCTCACTTCCAGCCCTACCCCCAGCCAGGGCTCCACTCCTCTTCTTCCCCTTGTTCTGCTCCCTGGGAGATAACTGGTCAGACAGGTTCAAAGCCCCCTTGCATAATGACTCATCCCCTGCCCTGCTGGGCCGTGCTGCAGACAGTGGAGGTCACCCACAGCCCACTGCCCAGCATAGCAACCAGCAAGGTACCCCCACTATGTCACAGCCCTACCAGTGCAGAGGGGCTGTGCTGGGGCAGTGTCTCTTCCTGGGCATGGAAAGAGCTCGGGCCACCTAGGGCACCTGCCCACAGTGAGGCTGGGTGCTGCCGGGTGCCGTGTGCATTCTGGGCCGAACCAGCACCGCTGTCCCCGCGTAGTAAAGGGGGGAACCGCCCCAGGGGCACAGGCCGTTGGACGCTGCCGGGCCGCGGGCCCCTGCCT